TTTATGAACATTGCTCATAAGATTAATACAAAAAGAAAATTCAAGCCTTTTTCACAAAAAAGAAGAATAGTTTGACTTCTCCTTAAAGTTTTTCAATAAGAGTAGAAAACTTTCACCCACCTCTCCTCCATGATTCAAAGTGCCAAAGTGCGAGGTAAGTCAGGTAAATTTTGCATGCTATTTGTTAAATTAGCAGCTAATAAGAAACCATGCCCCACTGCGGTTTGATCCATCTGCCACCGATCTAAGGCGGCAACTGCTAATTGCTAACGCCCACATGAGCATCAGGCAGGCGTATTGATTCCTCATTCTCACATCTCAAACATCTTGAATGACACTGAGAAGCCAGTTGCAACAGACCAGGGTTTTACAGGGCACCATGTTGCTGGAGGGGGGGGTAACTAACTGGGGCCGTGCAGTTACTGCTGTGCTTGCACTAAAAAACTCCTTGGACTGTAACATATAAGGACAAGGGACAGGCGGCTAAAGCGAGGAAGGATGAAAAGTACATCACCGGCAGATATAATTAAACCTGTGGTTTTAAAAAGCAAAGATTAAGTGTGTTTAATGGATCAATAACGATGGACAGACAAGACAAAGAAGATTAATCAAAGTGCTCAGAAAATAGAGCACTTAGGCAAGCAATTAATATGTCAAGGGAACCTCGCAGGGACAAAAAAAATCAGTAAAAATAAATGTAAAAACGAACGGCTTCGAGGGCTATTACTTAGGATTATCACCATTGATTTTGTCTATAGCTGCGTGCGTGTTTGATGTTAATATCCATATTGATTCACCACTTTTTAGCAGCTTTTGATAGACACCACTCACACATTCCCCCTCATAAAACTTTCAGATTTAGATTTCATTACAATGTCCAGACCGTTCCCTCATTTCCTCAAGGAAGGTTATGAACATCGATCTGCCCTAGATAGAAAGCATAAGTTCAGCACATGCTTTGGTGAAGTGTGTCTCAACTTTTATATTAGCGTAATAGTGCATCAAAAACAACAGGGACTGGAAGCCCCCAAGTCAATATGGCTGCCGGCCAGGACAAGCTAATTTCTTTGGCTTTGCTTCAGATGTTTTGCATAACATGACTTATACTGACTGACAAAAAGTAGGAAGAAGAGGCACAGACAGAGGCAGGAATGGAAGTAGAGCTTACCGTGCATAATAACCCATGCATATCAGCGAGCCAAAGCTGAGCTGTACTGTACAGGATGTACAGTGCTGTGTATTTATTTCGGTCACGCATTTAAAGCAACCACAAGCCTTCATTACCTAATGATGACAGATAATGGTAACAAGAATAAATTAAAGGCTTCCTGTCTTTTCCATTTTGATCAGGGCTGTTGTTGTTGACTGTGGTTTTATATGCCGGACCCTCAGGACTCACAGACTCAATCTCATGCAGCCAGCTTTGTTCCTGGCTCTACTGAAGCAGAAAAGGTGGACTCTTACTGGAAATCTCCAGGCTTTTCTCCTTGTGATGGTCTCCTCCTTCCTCTGTGTTCAATTTCACTCCACTTGACTAACACATTTCTAGACATTTACAGTAAGAAATTAGCAAATCAAGCAGCAGTGACATCTTAGACGGCTGTTTAAAACTCCCTTTTCTCTCCCAGCTCTATTGATTGCAGTGTAAAATACACAGGACACACTCCTCAAGATTCTATTACAATCTGTTTCATCATGTATAATTTCAACAGATTGGATGATTTCTTCTTCCTCTTTTAAAAAAGAAAGAAAAACTATTTTGTATAATTCTACCTCAAGTGTTAAATTATCCTGCCTGACAAAGAAAAAAATATCTTAAAATGACTGGTGCACTTAACTTGAAAATGTTTTCATTTTGACACCATCTGCACTTACAATATGAATAACGGCGTGCTCCCCCCCTTTCACACACACACATCTCTATCAGAAATTTCTTGTTATTGCCACTTAACAGTAACTTTATGGACAAACGAGAAGCTACTGCATCATCCAGTTCCCCTTTTCTTTTTCTTTTCTTGACAACTACACCTCTCTATAACCGTCTGCACAAAGATCCTTTCCTAATCGAGCACTAAAGAATAAAAAAAAAAAAAAAAAACAGATAGCATAGCAAAAAATGATGGAGGATCTGTAAACCTGGTACCTATTTGCTTGTCATCATGATGCATGCAGAGGCAGCTGCAAACATCCATCCATCCATCCCTGATCCATTCATCCAAAAGCTATGCCTGCTTTACCCTGGGAAGGGATGGAGTTTATCCCAGGTGGGATAAACTCCAACTTGTCAACATACTGTAGTCCATCTTTAAATTATTGTTGTTTTTAAAGCAATAAAAATATCATTACAGTATAGGTGACTTCTTAATAATAAAAATAATTGTCTAACTGTAACTGCCACCCATGGTAACTTTGCTTTTATCCATATTAAGCACTTTGCAGTGATTAATATGGCCTCTATCAACGTTAAAGAACCAGCCAACATCTTATGACCACACTAATGGTCCACATAAACTTCTATTAATTTCTGATTGGAACAGTGAAGGTAACCTGATAGGATGAGCCACAAAAACTGCATCTTACATTACGATTAGGCTCAATCTTGTTAGACAGGGCCTTGTGCTTCTTCTGGTGTTTTTTTCCTTGTCTTTCCACCCAATCAGCTGCAGTGCATTTATCTGCAGAGCCTCCTAAAAAACATCTGCTACAGAGCAAAATATGGGGGTACTAAGAGGAGTTTTGAAGTCCATCCATCCATTTTCTTGACTGCTTATTCATTTCAGGATTGCAGGGAGTTTTGAATGGGATATCTGACGTATGTGAAAAGATAATGGACACAAGCTTTGTGCGTGAGCAGTGTATCAGCAGATGGTGGTTACTGTAATCCACTTGTGTGAAAGAATGAGGCATCATTTCCTTAGAGTCTGTTTGGGTCTATGTCTCTTTTCTATCTTTTGGATCAAACACTCTTTTTACCTCCTCTGTTACTCTCAATAAGCCACTGAAATCTTGGCAACATCACAGCAGATGTAAATACTGCTAAAGTAAGTCATGTGGTCATTTTTGTGCATCCACTACTCTTTAGATTGCGCTGTCCAAACACAGTTTCCTTCTCTTGATGTGTTGCTCTCCGTTTTGTGGAGTGGTCAGGTTGCAATCCTGTCTAGACGACTTCAGATGTGATTTTTTTTACACGAGTAACAGATTAAAACTATTGTTGGTGATCTGAATATCACAAATTGTTAATAACACAGTTTGTGTAGCTGTTAGTAGACGTGTGGATATTTGTAAATGCTTATTAAAGCTTCTCTTCTGTTATTAGTGTATAAACACCAAATAAATGAATGAACGGGTAACCAAATTTCACTTTATGTAATACTATTAACATGTTCGTATACCTCGAAAGTGAGAAACTCAGTGTTAACTTACTGAGATGCTCGCACTATGAATCAAAAGACATTGATAAATTAATAAACTAAATTTCAAAATATCCTTATATCAGTTTATAGCTCAGATACACTGAATTAAAAGTCATCTGACATACATTTAATAACATATATTTAACTATGGTTGTGTTTAATATATGCCATTCCATTAAGATCAACACAGTGTAATGCATCAGATGTTGCTGCATAAAAAGCAGATGGAAAACAATTTAATTATCAATACCCCTAATGGCCTTAGATTATGAAATAAGCTCATTTTACAAGACAGAAAAAGCTGATATTTTCAAGTAAATATGCTAAATTGACTTTTATGAGCTTGTGTGAGGCTCTCTGACCTCTGTGGCATTTACTGTATTGTCCTACTAGGCAATTTCCAGCCATCTGGTACTCCAGGCAAGTTCAAGTAAATGTTAAGATGTACTGTATTTGCAACTATTATCTGCTAGCCTGTCTCGCAGCACATAATTCCTCTCCGCGCTCCCTCATGACAATAATTTAAAAAACAAAATATGAACATGAGATGGTGAAACGTGGAACTGAAATGGATTTTGCCATTTGAAAGAGTGACGAACAACATCTCTGTTAATTCACATACATCATACACTACAGCAGCGGCAGATGTGTAGGGGCATAATTACACACAATAACTGCAGTTATTTATTATTCAAAGTCAGCAGTGTAAACATGTTCATAGACCCCTCAGCCTAGCACTCCCTACCCCAACCTCCTGCTGTTGTTGTTGCTGCCGCCGCTTCAGCTGCCGTTGTTCCCGCTGTTTTGTCTTGTTGCTCCATTCGCCATTCCTGCTTCCTTTCACCCTCAGCTTGTTCTACCTTTCTCCCACTCCCCCCCACTTCCTCTCCAAATCATTGTGAAGCCAGATGTTATTTTACAGCATGAGCGCAGAAGAAATATTAAAAAAAAGACTGGAAGTTGGGAAACTTCTCATCATGGAGGGAAAATGTAGAAGTTTAGCGACACAATGGAGAATTTTGTCTGTTTTTAAACCAGAGAACAGAAGCAGCCTTTAATTTTAAGAAATGCAGCAGCAGGTGGGGAGGGGGGGATAAAATAAATAAATTTAAAAAAAAAAACCCTCCTTGAAGATCCCACTGAATTCCTGATGCATTATTGACCTCTAGTGGACGACGTTTATATGAGGAATAAATTGTGTGAACAGCAGCAGTGTTAACCACATTAATTATATGACACTTGACCAGATCAGTGTTTATCAAGTGACTCCAACATGGACTCAATTAACTGCAGAGGACCATCATCTCCACTGATAAGAACCTTAGATTAAATTCACCCATTTCCATCGGATTGGTACAGAGATAAACAGCGACTGGAAATCCAGCCAATAAGCCTTCAGCTCTAAGGCTGAATGCTCCCCATGTGTTATATTATACAAATGGAAAGCCATAAGCAAACCATGTGCAAATTATGCAAGTATTCAAAATTATAACCATTTCATCCTTCAGTTGATGACTTACTTTGAATCTATATGTAAAATCTGCAGCCAGTCAAAAATCCAGCGCTCACATTAAGACAACCGAGTACAGCAAAGAGATTTTTATTCTGACAAAGGAGTGAAAGAGCTTTTCTTGTTCCCATTTTGCAGCGGACTTGAAATTCAGTATAAACGATCATCAAGCACCTTCACTTCTTCTCTATTGGAACGTCATCCCTCACCACTGGGAATATTTCTATTTCCTTGATGATCCGTTTAGCAATAGTCTCATTGTTTGCTGAAATCATCCTCCGAGACATTAGATCGAATGGTCCCCCTATATTGTCAAAACAAAGCCTTTATTAAGAAGGACTCCTGCAGTCAGTGTTTTCAACAAGTAACATATTGCTTTTTTAATGATATTCATTAACACTCATTTCCAAGCACATATGCTTCATAACCAGCTGTTTGAGAAGATTTTTAGAAATCATACAAACCATCAACATCCAGGAGGATTCCTCCAGCTTCTTTGACTATAACTGCACCAGCGGCAATATCCCAGCAGTGGATCCCGATCTCAAAGAGAGCCTCAACTGCCCCGGTCGCCACAGAACACATGTTTGTAGCAGCTGTTCCTGACCCACGTAGCCTGTCAGGACAAAAAAAAAATCAAAGGGATACTGGGAATTGCAGAAGCAGTGAGGAAAACATACCACACCGGTCAACAACAGCAACTTTGCTGCCAAGTTCAACACTGAGTGACACATAACTCTTCATTTTAAATATGATGAAGCCAAAGTTATGTGGAACAATCCATCATGGTACTTTACATATTTACAGATAAAAGGGGAAATGCAGGTTTTGTTGCTCTAAAGCAGTTTCATCATCTGCCTTAAGTTTGAAATTATTGCATCATTTTAACACATTAAATGTTTTGGTTTCACCCTCTTTACTGTTGGTGTTCCTTGGCATACAGTATGCCTTTCACCACCCTTTACCTTCACTAGCTAGTTAGGAATTTTAAAGTTACTTTGTAAGGTTTAGATAAAGATGGGACTCTGGCTGAAAACACTCCTTTAAAAATCATCCTGTTTAACCTCTGCGATTAAAGCTGAGTCTACAGGTCCTTTACAAACCTCCATATGGGACTTGTCTCACTATTGCTTCATGGCACAGACTTAAAGGACACCTTGTTTATGCGAGATGCCAGCTGCTTAGACAAAAACTAGACTATTTGACACCTAATCAGAGCAGGCTGTATTGATCTGCATACAACAGGCAATACGCCTGTTCCTTTGACAGCAATTTATGCATTTCCCTGTCATGTTGAATATACATAGATTTAAAAAAATAAAAAAAAAAATAAAAAATTCAGGCAATTTTGTTGAGTTGTGGCTGCAAAAATCCCTGTGGAAATGACTTTTGACTGCAATGCACAGTATAGCGTTTCAATCCAGGCCCACTTACCCATGCACTGGGATGCAGAGGTTCTTTTGCATTGTGGAGAAGATCTTTGTCACTTTTTCTGGGCTTCTATCAGTTCCATGTTCAGAGATGATTATTGACTGGTTAATGTCTGCAATGAGAGCAAGTCTAACATTCTTAGTATGCAACAGTAGATATACAGCTTATTACTAGATTCAGAAGTTTCAGAAAGTGGTACATTGGGAATATTGATAAATCTGGACACAAATGTTCATTTCAAAATGTTGTTCTTAAATCAGGGCACATTTCGTCTTAATTAGAAATTGACCAGTTCTGCTACTTTTGCAGTACATATTAGAATTTGGGGTTTGTTTGTTTGTTTGTTTGTTTTTTAAAAGCATCTGATTTGGTATTCAAATCAAAACAGGGATACATGAATTTGTATCTCATTTTCATCACCAGTTCGTTCAAAATCATTAAAACAGTGTCCTTAAAACTCATTAATATGCATCAAATTATTCAGTGTTTGAGAAGTCTGTCAACTGTGTCACCCTCGGACAAAACCCCGATAGCTCAGCAACACTCGTCCCCAAAGTGACACAAACACCAAATGTCAATTCCATTAGTAATGTAGCAAGTAATACAAAAAAAAAGTTTAAATAAAAATAAATAAATAAGTTGGGGAACGGTTCTAAAGAAATCTTGGATAAGGATGTTAAATCACTCCAGAGTATAATGCAGATTTATGTTTAATTAGTCATCCTTGATAATACCGATGCACAATCCTTTATCAAGCTCAAATTTCCTATTTTCCAAATCTGTTCGATAAAACATTAAAAGTACTGGTAATTAGACTCAAATTTGCTCATGTAGGTAATTTTGTTAGACAATTTTTTAATAAAGAAGGGGGATAAGATTTTACTGGAGAAGTCCATCATGTTACTGCACAACAGGGGTTTAATACGGTGTCCATTTGCCAGTTTTTACATAACAGACTAAACCGTGTGTCATGAGGACATTGTACCTTTCACATCAGACACCTGAATGGGTTCGTCATCACAGAAAGCTCCCTTCCCCCGTCGTGCTTTGTACATCTTGTCCTCCAAGCAGCTGTATACCACACCAAATTCCAACTGAAACAGATTTCATTTTTAAGATTGACTTAATCCAGAGATCTGTGCGCATTTTCTCTAATATAGTAGCTTCATTTGACATACCTCCTTATTGACAGCAAATGCAATAGAGACAGCCACAAATGGGAATCTGCAAGCAGTTTCATGTGTATTGCATTAGTTAGTCAGAAAAGCTTAAATAGACACTCTTATCAAAAGTTGTTTGAGCCTAGAAAGTTATATGCATCTTTCCTTACATCACTTAAAAAGCTTACCCATGTACAAAGTTTGTGGTGCCGTCCACTGGGTCTATGATCCATGTAGGTTTGTCAGTCAAGATACATGGCTCGCCTTTGGCAACTGACTCCTCCCCAATGAAACTGCAGAACGAAGCAGCAGTGGATCAGTGAGGAATACCCACATACAACAACAGATATATATATATAAATAGGGGATGGTGGGTATGCATGACTCACCAGTGCGTGCCTTCTCCGAATTCCTCTTTAAGAGACCCGATGATGATTTTCTCAACCCTCTCATCAGTCTTGGTGACGAGGTCCACAGTGGAGCTCTTTGTCATGACTCTGATTTCACTCTCTCCAGCTTTCCTAATTTCCTGATTAAATTAAATTTTGGCACATTGTCAATCCACCTTAAATTGTTTTTTTAAAGAATTCCCATTTCAGCTTTTTAAACATTAGTATTGTAATGTTTAATGCTGTGTGTACACTTGAAGTTAGTCACCAGACAACAAATGGGTGTTCAAGACATACCGCTCCAGCTTTTCTTGCCACTGCAACAGCAAAGTCATATGCCTTCTGCCATGGATCTTCCATTTTGCTTTTATATGGAGGCTTGGTTAGGAGAGTTGGTAAAAGAAAAGCAGCCTGTAAAATTGTTACAGCCAAAAAACATTAGAGCATCCACAAGGCAGAGCTAAACAATGCAACAAATGTCCAAGTTATTTTGTCCATCCTCATGGGCATTCACAAAGAATGTGTCACTATCAGAGTAACGCGTTACTGTAATCCGATTACTTTTTTCAAGTAACGAGTAAAGTAAGGGATTACTATTGCAAAAACGGTAATTAGATTACCGTTACTTTCCCGTAGGAACGCTGCGTTACTGCGTTACTAAAACCATGATTTTTTTTTTTTGTGAGAATGTCTCATGACAGTGACATAAGCAAGTGCGACGTTCGTGACAACAGCTGTGTGCAGATCAACAATGGATCACATATCGATTGTGGGAGAGAGCATGAGCATGCAGCGTTTAAAGCGTGGAAGTACTGACCTTACTTTGAGTTTGATTCCATAAAAAGTGACAAAAACATTAGTGTCCGTTGTGCGTGGGAAGAAAACTTCTTTTTACAGCGAAAAAAACCCTAAACTTCCAAGCAAGCACCGAGTGCGCTATGACGTAATGGGAAACTCAGAGAAACTCGCGGATTCTTCAACTGACCGCGGCACACCTGCACCAGGGTAAACCTCCGCCTACCGCAGTCCTGCTTTACAGGTGAAAATAGAGCCAAAGGACCACTAGTCTTTGACTTTATTTATTTTCTGCTGTGTTTTACTTGCATCTATTTGAAAGAGTGAGTGTAAACACAAAAAAATCTTTTATTTTATGCGCTGGAATGTGCAGAAAATAGGTTTAAATATTAAACAAATTTCTTCCAGTCAGAGAATGTTGCATATAATTAAATTTTTGCTTTATGCATAAAGTTAAAAGATTAAAACTAATAAAACAAGTTTTAAAAAGAGACTTTTCCATTTGATTACATTTTGTATGATAGATTATGCAGAAAAAGTAGAATTGGGCTGAAAGATCTATCGCTTTATCACCTATTCAGGTTGTAAATCGTGTTTTTAAAAAGTAACTAAGTAATTAATTACTTTTGAAAATAAGTAATCAGTAAAGTAACGGGATTACTTTTTTGGGGAAGTAATCGGTAATTAGTTACTGATTACTTTTTTCAAGTAACTTGACCAACACTGGTCACTATACTTAAAGATGATGTTTCAAGTCTCTCTAAAACTTCAAACTTTGCAAAACATTTAAAATGCACATAACCAAAATACAAAAGACACAAAAATTGGAGGTACATATATTCAGAGCGTTGCTATGAAATGTTTAAAGCACAATATCTGAACTGGGAGTTCACACACTTAAGCAAACCACTCTTTTCAAATAACTCCTTTAATTTGTGTTTCAATAACCCAGCTTTCTTTGAGTTACCACCTTTCTGCTGGAGGTGCCTGCTGAATTGTGTTAGAAGGATCAAAGCTGCATTACATCAGCTGCAGCTTAAAGGGTGCTGATTGCCAATTGGACTGCACCATGTTCCTCTGACATTATGTGGAGAGGAAACACTTTAATCACAACATCAATTTATTTTCATGTAATACTAGGGAGCAGGATACTGACAGGTTTTGTGGTTATCACAGGTGTTTGAATGGCCCTGTCTTTGTCTCTCCCCTTGTGCACCAGAATGACCAAATCCACCACTATTTACTGCTTTTTTTCCCCCTTTTGGTTTGTTTAGTGGGTTCAAACTCAGTTTTGTTTTTGGTCTGTCAAACCAATAAAATACTGCTATAAGCCTGCATAATTAGCAAACTGTTTATACAACAGTAGATATTTATTGGTGTAAGACTGAAGTTGTGAGCACTGTTATGCACTAATATCAGCAAAATCAGACAAATGTGCAGTAGGTGTGCCACATATATTGTACCAAAACATGTCATATGGCTGCTCTTAATGGCTGCTGCAATTAGGCATCACTACCTCATATCACATTTTGGTTTTTTAAATATTAATACATAGATATTGTTGCCTGACCACTTTCACCGTCTCTCTCTCTTTGGCATTGTTTTGGGGGGTTTTCTTCAAAAAAAAAAAAAAGAAGAAACAGAAAAGTGTCCCAGCTAATCCATGCTGCTTCCACCTATCAGAATGTCTGTTTTATAGCACAGTATATCTGTGCTAAGAAGGCTGTAAAAGGAACTGAGCGTATCATTCCTATCATAAATGAAAATTAGTTAGTAATGCACTTAGGGATACATAAATTGCATCACATTTAAATACACTCCCAGCTAAATTGATTTGAGGATTTGCAGACAGCATGCCTGCAGAGAGAACTGCCTGTTACTTAAGGACAAGACAACACCCTTGAGTACATTGTGCACTGAGGTACTACTGTACTGCAGAACATATAGTGTCTAAGCTCTTCTGCTTCACATGGATTAGATCTACTTCTAAAGTGTGTCCAAGCAGATCAGAGAATGTTTTGTAAAAAAAATCCAAGAAAAGTTTAATGTGAAGAATTTAAAAAATAAGAAGCCTTACCTTGCGGAGTCAGGTTGCCTCGAGATACTACTGCAAGTTCTTTAGAGAAGCCTAACTTTAAATTGCCTCATTGAAGAGATGAAGCAGCTAAAAAGGCTGGCATGACAAAGTGGGAAAAGTACTGGGACCGCCCTCAGATGGTTCTCACAGCAATCAGAGGAAGAAAACATTCTGTCCCATCTCAGGGAGACCTACAACAACCTGATGGCACATTCACCATAGAGTGAGTGCATCCTTATCCTTAAAAAAGTAAGTGGAAAATTTTGAGTGTCTCCCTAATTCTTGTGGAGTCCCATAGGAAAACACAGCCCACTGCCATACATTTCTGTGAGTTGTAATCGAATACAGAACAATGCATCCCAGAAAATTTCCACACTCTTAGTCTTGATATTGGATTATAAATTATGACAGATTTTTAGGGCTCGAAATCTTAGGTTGATTTTTTGGAGGAATCAAAAATTACATTCCAGCTCTGGACTTTTAACACATGATTTGGTATGACAAACAAAGCTTCGCTTAGTTTTATATTTCCTGGCAGTTTCACATCCATTGAGCTTTCTCTTTATGTCCTTTTATTGTATTCCACTGGTGGAAAATAGTTTGAAAGGTCCCCTGGTGAGTCAGTCTCAATTATGTGTGCGTGCATGGCTGTTGTTCAATGTGCCTGCTGGAAGTTGGATAAAGTCTTTACAGTTTCCCCATGAACTGAGTAGAAGTAAACACAACAGATAAACACATCCATAAGCATCAATATTTATGTGTCTAAATGTGTATATCTCAGTCAGATTTTATATCCAACTGCACTGTGAGGCAACTTAAATGTGAAAATACTCTCGTTTTCTGTTGGAATCATCTGTTTGGCACAACAGCTACAAGACGCTCAAAATGTCTAATAAAGTCTACTTAAGTCTGGCAAAACCAGTCTTGACTGTTTAAACTCAGACATGTCATAATACATATCCTATCTATCTTTCAAATACATGCTGCACTCAGGTCCTGAGGCATTACAAAACACTTTTTGTGCTTTTTTTCTTTTTACAAAGTCATAATGCCACTTCTCGCCCTGACAGTGGTCTTGCGTGGAGCAATTCTTTGCAGCAAGACAAATTGTTCAGTTAAATTTTGCACATCTCAAGGACGTGATGTTGCATCTCTGTCTGCCTTGTGATTTCAAACGTGACGACAATGGAGACATGTGGCTCATTTATATCTAAGGACAACAACCCCCGACACTGGGAAAGTGACCTTCTATATACTAAACAGGGCTAGTAAGACATAGCAAAATATGTGCTGTCTTCTACATTGTGTGATATGTCTGCATGAAGCAGAACAGTCGGTTTTTTTCCAGGGCACATTTCAGCATGATGCTTGACGTTGCCACACCTTCCATAACTTGCGTTCATGGGTGTTGAATATGTTCAGCCTGTTTCTGCAGTTTGCTAATCTGCAAGTCATGACAACATGAGTGGTGACGCAAATGTTTGGAAAAAAAAAAACTACATCTGCAAGGATCCTTAAGGTCTTCACATGACAACAGCTTTGTTAAACAATCTGCTTCATCGTCCCCTTGATGAAGTTGTGGATTTGCTACCTCTGTTGAATTAAAACAGTTCAGAGTGGGATATTACATGGTGGGATTTGTTGAAAGTTTTATTTGACTGGGAGCTGCAGGAGAGCAGTTGTCACCCCGATGTCTCCGTTGTGCACTAAATATAAGATGTTCTCAGAAATGTTGGGAGACACACAGACGAAAGTGACAGGACAAGCAAAACAAATACATCAGTCCTGCTGTCTCCCTGGCAGGTCCGTTATGAATAATTTATCCGGGATGATGGATGTTTCGGATGTTTGGTTGCCTTGAATCACAGCTGTAACTGAGGCCTGCCATGAAGGTCAGCGGTGCACCCTGAAAGATGAGGCTTTATCAAGTCACCAAGCCCCTTTTGATCTATCAATAAGACTTCCAGCTGTACTTGGGGACAATGGGGCTCAGTAGTAGGCTCCAGAAAGACAGCATGCTCACAGTTAAATTTTTAACACATTTTCCACCTTAGTAATATGCTACCCTGATGCACATGGCAAAGTAATTGGTGTTGTAGTAATTTGGTAAAATTAGTAATTCTACCTCATGATGATGCTCAGTGGATGGATTACTGCCTACCAGGCACAAACCCAGCATCCCAAAGAGCAAAAGGCCCCTGATCTAGAGCCTCAGTTTGAAGTGATACTTAACATTTCTTGGTGGCAGTTCAATCTCAGAACCACAAAGACACAAAACAATGAGACACAGAAGTACTTAAAACTGCAAAGAGACACAAATCTCCTTAAGACTGGGTGTGTTTCTTCTTTGTAAAACCTGTGGGGGACCTTTTGCAAGTTTGCCCCCAGAGACCTGCTCACTTATCCATCCAATATAATACCAATAAGGAAATGATTTCAGTTCATTTCATAGCACCCAGAATATATGAACCACATCGTATGGGAATCTGTCAAATAGTTGGTGGGATTTTTTATACCTGTTGATGGTGCAATAGGAGTGAAACTCTGAGGATTACTAAAGGTATATTCTTCTGGGAACTGTGAGCAGTTCTACAAAATACTTTATATTTTAGTTTTGTCCAAAGTGGTGAAGGAACTAATGACATTATTCCACTTTTTCAATTCAGGTGTTGGGGGGGAGGCTGTAACTATCCCAGCTGCCATAGGGTGAGAGGTAGGGTACAAACTGGACAGTTCACCAGTCTGTCTCAGTGCTAACGCACAGAGACCAACAGCCACACTCACATTCACCCCTACATCCAGTTTAGAATTAGACTTAACTTAACCCCATGTCTTTAAACTCCGGGAGGAAGCTGGAGTACCCAGATAGATCCTACACAGACATGGCGAGAGCTGGATTCAAACCCAGGACCTTCCTTTTGTGATATGATACTGCTAACTGCTGCCCACAAAAAATATAAGTATAAAATATAAAAAATGAACCATATAGTAATTCAGTGTTATCATAGGTTCAGATTCCTTTAGTATTTCCATGTACTGAGCTACTTTTTACAAGCAACTTTAGAAATTCAAATTAGCATGGTAGTAGAGCTACCACTAGAGCAGCGGTCCCCAACCTTTTTTGCGCCACGGACCGGTTTATGTCCGACAATATTTTCACGGACCGGCCTTTAAGGTGTCGCAGATAAATACAACAAAATAAAACTAGTACCGGTACCGAAAAAAGAAGATTTATTAATAACACACGTGAAACAACCCAGAAAAAATGAGTAAACGACAAAAACGATAACAAAATAATGCTAAAAACCGATAAAAACCCTGAAAACCACACATTTCACACCCGAACCTCAACTCCCGTTGCCCGTTACCAAACGACTCACGGACCGGTACTAGTCCGTAGCCCGGGGGTTGGGGACCGCTGCACTAGAGTATCTTTAGCGCAGCAAAGCACATTTTCTTTGACTGTAAAAGGCAAAAATTAGGCCATTAAAACATGAACAAGTATTGTATGCTGTCAGCTGGACTTTTGTAAATGTTAAGGATTTCCTGTGAAGTGAGAAGAAATAAGCTACAAATTAAATGTACAGTCAGGGAAGCCAAGATCTAGATTGTTCTTCATCACTTGATTGGAATTTGCAGGCCAGCAGGAGGGCTGCCTCCAATTTCCCTTCTCTGAACAGCAGAGCAGTAGGAGGCTAGAGACCAGTGGTTTATATTGCAGCAAGTGGGAATTCTTCCTGATGGAGGGCTGCGGGGTGTCTGTTAGGTTGCCATTATTCCTACAGGGATCTGCTAAGTGGACTTGCATTGCACGGTCTATCATCCAAATAACTGTGACTGAAAGTGCTTCACATACCCAAATGGTACACAGTATCCATCATGTGATGATGAACTAGCATTAGTTGGTGCTTTTAGCTCTGAGAGGATGTACTTAAAACAAAGCAGTGATTTAAGCTAATGCCAATCTGTAAAGATAATAATTTATGATCTTAGTCTATGACATAAACATAGCTGTGGTTATCAGGTTAATATTCAGTTAAAGTATGTGGAAATTAAAAAATATGGACATTGCAGTTGTACTCCAATTTTCTCCCAGTGCTGGCTAAGGAAGCCACCAACCCCCATCACCATGGCTGGAAACCCAGTTAGATGGATAGGTGTGTGAAAACTATATTCTGATAGTACAACGGCCATCATACATTTTTTTCTTTTGACAAAGTGCCAGTGCTTAATCTGAAACCACTTCTACCCATTTCCACAAAAAAAAAAAGACTTGCTGAAATTGTTCTGCCATTACCCCAACTTCAGCTATTTACACCGTAATGTTCAGCTGTCGACCCTGTCGAAGTCTAGCTGTCGAAAGTCACAATGGCCTCAGAAAAAAAGGCAAAAGCACGACCAAGTTCTTTCTCAAACAGTTTAACAGTGGGAGTGTCTCTTGATGTCAGAAGGGAGGGAAAGTCTTGCCATTGCTAAATAATAACTACAATCACAGTCATAAACAGAACACAAAATGATAAGTAAGTGACTGAAACAAAGAAAAAACACTAAATTCTACATAAAAGTCTAACTAAAGCTGTTTAAACGTGTTTGATACAAAAAGCACAGCCTCTGTATTTTTATTTTTTTTTTAAAGAACAATGGTTGGCATTTCTTTACTGTCAATGAGAGCCTGTAATGAATCTGTAGTCACTCTACAGCTAAAAGGGGGGGTGGGGGGTATTTAAATTTTAAAGTTGCAAGAACTGATTTGTTTAACATCTGCTGGTGTAAAGGTAAAAGCTAGAAGAGGAAGCGCTGGCTTTTAGCTGACTGACTTCGGAAGCCATTCCCAACACTGGTGATTACGTCGCTACCCCCTGTTGTATACAAACACACACCATTGATTTCTGTGGAAGGGGGGTTGCAGCACATACAACGGGAGTTTGCTCAAGTAAAGTGTTTTAAAGCCATTTATTAGCCATCAGCTGAAAAAACAGCCCACGGAGAGAAAAACTCTGGACTATTTTATAGAGCTCATCAGCCCAGGGGGCAGTCCACCACTCTGCATGTGCAGTGTCTGCAGCACTGGCTGAAAGGGCAGGGGAAATGCAGCGGAGAATTTTACATGGAGTAATGGCT